AAGGATATTGATACCTTAGAGAGGGTTCAGAGAAGGGCTACTAAACTGGTTCATGGATTGCGGGATAAAACTTACCAGGAAAGGTTAAAGGATCTTAACATGTATAGCTTGGAGGAAAGACGAGACGGGGGGGATATGGCAGAAACATAAAGGGAATCAAAACAGTAAAGGTGGAGACTATATTTAAAAGAAGAAAAGAGGTAGGGAAAGCATTACATTGGCTGAACTCAGCAAGGATGCAGGATGGGGGCAGGGACAACATTGTTTTGGCCAATCAGCATATCCTCACAGAGAGATTAATTGAATCAATGCATTTCTATGAGGCAATTTCAGTGTCTCCATACAGAGCGTGGAGAAGCTGAATGGCAGTTCTACCTACTGTGCAGCAGTGCCCCAGGAAACTGAAGGTGTCCCTAGGGGTAATGTAAACACTGCCTTTTTGCATGAAAATGCCTGAAGGAAATGATTCTACTCACCAGAACAAATACATTAAGCTGTAGTTGTTCTGGTGACTATAGTGCCCCTTTAAACTTGACATTCTCACGCTGGTGAATAAGCCTAGCAGATGCAAAATATGGGAAATCCTTGACTACATATACAGGATGGGTTTCTTTTTTGCCTCTCTACATTACTTGCATTTTGTTAGAGTGCTTATGGAACATATATATACTTCTAATTGTAACCTGGCAGAATAAATGGGAGTCTGTGTCACTGTAGATATTTTTCCTGCCTGTCTGTGCTCAATTGTATGTCAAGCTGGAATTTCTGGGCTACTTGTGGAACCAGGGTTTCTTGGAAATGTTGTGCCTAGAGCAGACTTCCTATAGTCTTTTAAATCAAAACACTGTATTGAAAATAGAATTTAAAAGATGCATTTAAAAGAATTATAGGGCAGCCGAACCAGTGGCGGAATGCTGCCATTCTGACTTGTTGGGCTCTACCCCATGTGAAGGAAACTGCATGTATAATTATGACAGACACGTGTTGTTTTCTAACACATACCAATGAGTGTTTTTTACAGTGCCAATAGTGGGTCAGCCAACAATATCAAATATCAGATGAATAACAGTGTCACTGAAGTAGGCCCAGTGTACAGTAAGAATCTCTGCATTACCTTTCTAAGTAACATAGCTTTCCAGTTTTCTTAATTTGTTTATACTAGTGAATTTGCAAGCCTAGCAGAATGTATCAATCTGATCAAGGGCAGTTCAGCAGTCTTCTTCAGCTATTCGTATGATTTCACTTTGTGACCTTTGTCTGCAGGTAGCACGGTCCTTTTGGGTACAAACATGCACAGTCTTTAAAAGGAACTTAATTCCAAGCACTTTATTTGTAAATCCACACAGGAGACAGTAGATGAAAAAAAAACAATAATGTAACAAAATCCCTATAAACAAAAAAAATAGCTTGTCTGAGCACTAACTAACATCAGATTCCCTATCTCTCAGGGTTGAGCTATAACAAAAAAATATTGGTTTCACCAACCTAGTGTCTTTACCAGCTATCAGCACTCCAGTGTTTAGTCAGCCTGCTGCTGCCAGCTCTTCAAGAGAGAAAACAAACATTCTCCCCTATCTGCCTAGCAGGGAGGGGTTTATTCCCACTGCTGCAGCTGATTACCTGCAGCTGAGCAGTGGGTTGGAGACAGTCCAAAAACCCTGGCCTGGATCTATGTCTCCCACGAAAACCGCTAAACTGCGGAGTGGAGCACTGGCCCACCTGCTCTCCAAATGCTCCACCGCAGGGTCCCATAACTAAATATTCATTTCGGTTATATACACACCGTAACACACACTCCCCCTGGGGTTAAAAATCATATGGCTCTCTGAACAATTCAGTCGAAATATAAACTCCCTCACAGACCACCCCATTCACCTTATCACAACCTCTTCTAACTTTGGCCTTGATTTCATTTTGTTGGATAAGCATTCCAAATGATTTAATGTTTGTGAATAATATTACGAAAACCATTTTAATTGTGTAATATTTTGATATTTTTTATATATTGACACATTGTTTTAATATTTTGAAATTTTAAAATTGTATCCAAAAATATTAGAAAAGTTTGGGAAGCTTATCAAACAATACAAAAATGAGGCCTGTGTTATAATTAAAGGGACACTATAGTCACCCAGACTAATTCCGCTCAATGAAGTTTTAGAGAAACTGCTATGTTTACATAGCAGGGTTAATCCAACCTCTAATGGCTGTCTTTCTGACAGCCACTAGAGGCACTTCTGTGACGCTGAATGCGAAATTCGCATCCAGCGTGCAGAACGACCATAGGAAAGCTTTGAGAAATGCTTTCCTATGGACTCTTAGAATGCGCGAGCGGCTCTTGCCGCTCATGTTTTCTTAATTTATTTTTCCCCTTCAACGCCACAGGAGGGGGACTCTGAGCGTGAGGGTCCCCCCAAGGATGACATAGTGTCAGGAAAATGGGTTTGTTTTCCTGACACTATAGTGATCCTTTAATATACAAGATTTGTTAAAAAGGTTATTCAGATGTCGAATTGTTACTTACTATGCAAAGAAAAGTACAAGTCATTCCTCATTGATGAAACCAGGCCAAAATAATCTTACGCAGTTTCTCTATCTCTTTAACAGAAGGGACTGTATTATGTTCTGGGCTGCAATTGTGGATAGGACTAACTTAATATACAAAATATATATTGCTTGAATAGTATATTTGTAAATTCAGCTTTTTTATTAAAAAATATTTTTTGATTTACTTTGCATTGTCGTTGGATGTTCACTTTTGTTTTTTGCCTCAACAATCTTATGAAGAATATTTTGTCTGTACATGTGTGTTTTTTTTTACAATCAACAGAGATAAGAGGATAAGTAAATGCAATATAGTGTCTAGTTATTACCAGGCTTGCTTCAACAGATGGACCCTAATTAAGTGAAAAAACCCAGTTGGATTTGCAGGTCTTGTGTTTTTCAGTTACCAAATTAACATCTACAAAAAGCAATAGACAATAACAAATGGAAAAAAAAATGCTTTGTATGCTTCTATGCAATTTACAGCTAAGGGTTTGGTCTATATTAATATAGAATATATTATTTTACGTTTTTACATTTTTCCTATATTATGTCTATTACCATCCGTTCAATCCTTTAAGAGTCTTGTGAGGAATTTAAATGATTTTTTCTTTACTGTCTACATTTTACTGATTAGCATGCCTGGATTAAAGATAAAAGCTATTTTCTTATTCAATCCCTAGACTTAAACCTTAACTCACTCAATGTGTTAATAAGAAGTAAAACGTTTAAACTACGTAGTTGCTTCAAAACTCAAAATCAATGTAACATTTAGGTGCCTAAAATCAAAACCTTACTGCAACATTTAACATCCAAAGTAAATAATAAAAAAGATCAGTCAAAATGTACACTACTTAGCATCTCAAAAGAAATACTTTTCATGCACAATAACAAGTAAGACGATCTATATCACAAGCTGCCAATCAATAGATTGTATTGCCACAAACCATAACTATAAAATAAAGAGAATTCTTGCTTTTTAAAAATGCGTAGCTGATAATGTAAGTCAAACAAAAAACCTTGGAAAATATATAAACCTAGAAAAGAAGCAGAAAATACCTAACATATTTAACTACTTCACTACCTAAATGTAATATATTTTTTTTTTACTTTCATGTATATTGCAGAATAATATCAGGTCCATGAAGCCTCACGCATCCTTGTTTCTACTTTATTTATGGTTACCAGCCTATAGAGGAACAAATTACTCTGCCACTAGTGGCTAGTCACTGATATAATGCCTGTACATTTACTGAAAATGTTATCTCACACATTGCTTCCAAGCAGTAAAGGGAGTTTCAATAGATCATATTATTCCTCCAGCCAGCTGTTTGTAGCTACATGTTTAGCCTTTTGAAATACATTTTGAATAGCCTTATTTTTTTTAATTTTAATAACTTGACAGACAAAATTAAACATTTTATTATTCAAACAAAAAAGTAAAACATCTGTTTTAAAAAAAAATGTGTGTTTGCGAGTACATATGCATATATGTGAAAATAGCAAGGGTGTGCTCAGAACTGAATGAAATACACTGAGCAATCCCTAAAAAAAATATATAAAATTAGCCTCCCAGGTTTAACAAAAAAAAAAAACAACTCATTATTTTGTCAATCATGTGATTAGTTTAACACTTGTTGTACTATAATGTGATCGTAAAAAAATTGATAAACGTGTTTTCATCGAAAATAAAATACATTTATTGTTTGGACATTGACATAAAAATTCAACTAATGTTATGGACACAATGTAATAATAAATGCTACTAGTACTACTAATAGTAATTGATGATTGGCTATAGTTTTGTAGATTTTGCTATAAAAATCTTTTTATAATCACTATAATAATGTTTCTGCTTCTTATATTTGTTCCATAAATAATAGTTATTGACAGCAACAAGCCAGTATCATTCTTGGACTCTAGACTTGCAAGTTTCATATATAGATTCATGAATTTTAACAAATACAGTTGATTGCAATTGCAGAGAAAATCTGAAAATCAGTACTTTATTATATAAATTCTGTCAAAGCCTACATTAGTCATATTCTTAGAAAACAGATTGTGGCGCGGTTTAAGTCATTTCTCTTCAATGTCATCCAAAATTCTGTAATATTTAAATAGCTGTGTGTTACATACCAATACACAATGTAACTAAGGAGTAAAACATTTTGCAATATACAGGAAGCAAACCTTTCAGAGAAACTGTAGAATGACATGAGATCACCATACATACAATGTATGAGTTTATGCAATGTCTTCAACCACAAATTGTGCTTCAACACGTAGTTTATAGCCTAGGACAGGGATAGGCAACCTTTGGCACTCCAAATGTTGTGGGCTACATCCCCCATAATGCTCTTACACCCATAATGCTGGCAAAGCATCATGGTAGGTGTAGTCCAAAACATCTGGAGTGCCGAAGATTGCCTGTGCCTGCTCTAGGAGGTATAGCCTCGATTTAATAAGCCTGACAGTTGATTCAATACTGTTAGAAAATCTCTCCGATTTATTTACATTCAAAATGTCAGAGTTATGGTTTTTCAGTTGAAGGTTAGATAGATGGCCATAGTGTTCAAACTTTAGCATGTAGTTAAAGTCGGTCACCTGGGAATTGGACACATATTTCATCATGTCATTATGTCAGCCTAATCCAGGTCTTTGTGTTCCCTGTGTCTAAAGTGAAAGCTGGAGAGGTCTGGATCAGTGCATATGGCTGAAAAGGGGATTTTCAGAGAAAAGAGGATTACTCCAAGTTACCCAGGTGATTGGGTAAGCATTATCTGGTGCCATTCTTTATGTGTATTTCCAGGGTGAAGACTCTGTTAATATGTACCATATGATTGGTTTAGTGTAAAGTCCTTCTTTAATTTTGCACATCATGGTTCCAAAGACCATTTTATGGAGAGCTGTCAGCATAAAATCCCAGTCCACCTAGTCAAAGGCATTCTTGGAATAATTTAAGATGAGAAGTACAGTGATGGAACCACTAGTTATAAAGACAGGGACATTAATTCATTACAATGTTGATTAAATAATCCACATTGCAAGTGCACATAAACCTTTTTTTATGCTGAATGGACACTGTTGGAATTGGTCTGTCTGTCTTTCCGTCCACCCATCTGTCTGTGTATTGATATATAGGTTCTAGCTATGTGTAAATTATATCTGCACCTGCATAGATCATCTACTTTAACAATAATCTGGATCTCCGATCGGATTTTACTTGAATAGGGTTATATTATACATTGTGTGCAGCATTTCCTTTTTCTTGTGAACGTATAAAACAAACAATGGCTGAGTTTTTATATTAAGGAAATTGATAGACTATGTGACTCGTGCATTTCGTATCTGCCATAAATTTTTATATTTCAAATGCCTGAATGATTGCTTCACTACTCTATCACATAGTTTGATTTTCCGCAGTACCATTCTTCTTTTTTATTCTTTTTTTCTCATTATTTATATTTTGATTATTCTATTATGACACATAGTCAGCATTTTTATTTTCTCACTAAAAACTATATAGCATTTTCTATTACTGCTTTCAGACTCTTTCTTCCTCTGTCAGACATCTTGATATCACCCACAGTAAATTAATAGTTATTACTTTATATTTATTTGCCAAAGCAATCATGACTTTTTGTAGCCATGTATGGAACCGACTCCACGATTTATTTTGTCACGCATGTTTGTGTACCTTTACATTTATATCCAAAAAATCAATACCTCTTTTCCACATATTGTAAAAGAGAATATTCTATTATTTTTATGCACCCATTGAAGATTGTGTACTAATTGGCTTCAGTAATGTAATTAAACAGAAAAGTTTGGAAGTCTCTTTCAATGGCATCTTACCACATACTAAAAAACATGGTGGTCTAAATATGTACAGTATATTCATTAATATTCTTGCTACATGTCAAGCAATGTATTAATTATTTTAAAAAATAAATAAAATTGATGCCTAGATAATTGATTCTATGCATAGGTTTTAATAAACTAGATATTTGTCTACCGTTAAAGATGGGTTGTGACATTTAAAGGTTTGTGCCTCACAACTAAATATTTGGATGCTCGGTTTAAGAAGATCTAAGATGGCAAGTAGTTCATTTAGAGAATAATGAAGAGATAAACACCTAATTTTCTGAAAACTCACACAAGTCAAACACTGGTACGTAAGTGGTGGGGCAAAATAAATGGAAGTGAATGCAAGTAACATAGACAATAAACCCAAGAGTTAAAATGAATTATATTTGCTTTTTGGCTGTTGAAGATATTTGCACTTTTTAATTAGCAGAGGAGCTAGTTAGAGACAAATGGATATAAACACAGACAGATATAAAGAGATAGCATCTATCCTATCCTTCACTCCCCACATGCATCAATGAGTCTTGGGAGCCCATGACCCTGACGCCGTTTTTTTGATGGTACTGCCTTGCACCACTGTTTCTTAGATACTAACCATGAACACCCCACAAGACTTGCCATTTTAGAGATGTTCTGACCCAGTTGTCTAGCCATCACTATTTGGCATTTGTCACTTAAATATTTTCGCTCACCCATTTTTCCTGCTTCAAACTCATGAAATTCAAGTACTGACTGTTCACTTGCTGCCTAATATATCCAACCCCATAGCAAGTGCCATTGTAACAATATAATTAATGTTATTCACTTAACTTGTCAGTTGTTTTATTGTTGCCTGATATAACCTGACTTTAGCTTATAAACTATATATTTTTACACATTTATTTATTTACATTTATTTATTTTGAATTTCTTTTTAAGATATCCAGATTTTGAAAAAGTAATCCAAAAATATTAAACCATTTGTAAATGTGTCCAAAATCAATTCAACGCAATCTTTAAAGTGAACTATATCGTATTTTTTCCGATGTTAAAGGGTTATTTGTCCCTGTAAAGTGAAACCTGTGACATTCTATCAAGGAACCATAAATTAAATCAATGTTTTATTAAGAATAGTGTTTAGTTATGAATTCACTGTGATATTGTTGAGATGTTTGAGTAAGAGAAGTTATTCTTTATTCAAACACATATATCTCTATTACAGCTAGAGCAAGTCTGAAGAATAAATCACCAGATAAGGGGTTAACTTATGCAATAAATAGAGAGAAAAAAAAATTCCAAATTAGTTATCTGCCAATTTTTCACTTTGAAAGGAAGCAAGGTTATACAATATTTACAGTTAGGGAATCAGTTGGTGATGAGTAAATTAGGATTTAAATTATGTATTAATTGGAATTTAAATTAGCGTGAAACACATCTATCAAACTGAATATAATAGGCGCTCACTACCGGAGAGAGTCATCGTACCGGCTGTGTGAAGATGATTAGGAGTTATTGATAGATCTATATTGCTTTGTAAAGGAAAGCTTGTATCTTATGATGTACACGTTGATGCCTTGAGGCTAGATGTGTATTCCTCACGTGAATGCATCCCCTACAATTGACAGTCTTATCCCCTTTAATTTATATTTAAAATGATTTCTGTTATCTTTCTGTCGGCAGAAATGCAAATCATTTCTTTCTTTTGTATTCTGTTATGATATATGTGAAACTAAGTAGTGAGTGTTATGTGGATAGTTTATATAGGCAATTTAACTGCAATTTGAAAACAGATGGTTGAACTATTACTGGGAGTGTTATTGCTGTGGAGCTCCGTTATACACTCAGACACATTACTGGGAGTATTATTGCTGTGGAGCTCTGTTATACACTCAGACACATTACTGGGAGTATTATTGCTGTGGGCTCTGTTATACACTCAGACACATTACTGGGAGTATTATTGCTGTGGAGCTCTGTTATACACTCAGACACATTACTGGGAGTATTATTGCTGTGGAGCTCTGTTATACACTCAGACACATTACTGGGAGTATTATTGCTGTGGAGCTCTGTTATACACTCAGACACATTACTGGGAGTATTATTGCTGTGGAGCTCTGTTATACACTCAGGCACATTACTGGGAGTATTATTGCTGTGGAGCTCTGTTATACACTCAGACACATTACTGGGAGTATTATTGCTGTGGAGCTCTGTTATACACTCAGACACATTACTGGGAGTACTATTACTTTGGAGCTCTGTTATACACTCCTACACATTAACGGGAGTATTATTACTGTGGAGCTCTGTTATACACTCAGACACATTACTGCGAGTATTATTGCTGTGGAGCTCTGTTATACACACTGACACATTACTGGGAGTATTATTGCTGTGGAGCTCTGTTATACGCTCAGACACATTACTGGGAGTGTTATTGCAGTGGGGCTCTGTTACACACTCAGACACATTACTGTGAGTGTTATTGCTGTGGAGCCCTGTTATACACTCAGACACATTACTGGGAGTGTTATTGCAGTGGGACTCTGTTACACACTCAGACACATTACTGGGAGTATTATTGCTGTGGAGCTCTGTTATACACTCAGACACATTACTGGGAGTGTTATTGCTGTGGAGCTCTGTTATACACTCAGACACATTACTGGGAGTGTTATTGCTGTGTAGCTCTGTTGTACATTCAGACACACCAACACTATGGAGTGCCTAGAAAAGAGGGGCATTGGGATAGAAAAGAGGGACAGAGGGATTTGGGCCCAAAAAAGGGACTGTCCCTCCTAATTAGGGACACTTGGAAGGTACGTTTGTGATAATTTAGAGGTCCTATGTGAGATATGTAGAAGATGCACAGTAGATTTTAAGACTGCATACACCGGTGGGAGTTTTATTGAATGTGGTCTCTTCATCACTTACTTAGATGTTTTACTATGAGAAACTTTCAGATATTAATATGTTTATTGACATGATCTGACTGTTATATAAAAGGAAATACATATTGAAATATAGCTATTTGTTTAAATTTAAAAGTGATATAATTATTAGAGCATGCTTTCTTTTCCTGGTGCATATTTTGTGAAATAAAAAGTGTGTTTTGTTTTTTTTGGTCCATTTTGTGTTTAAATAAACATTACATTGGATTAAATGAAAAGTATTATAATCTGGACATTGGATTATGCAATTTCCTTGAATCCAGATGTCTACAGAACTTCTTAATTTGTAGATAACATCAGACGCTTTGCTGCCAGTGGTGTAACTAAGGTGTCATAAGCCAGCATGGAACAGGAGTCAGCAATGCCTATATTGGCTGTGAGTGGTCAGGACATATAGTATGCTGGTGAACACCCCTCTGGTTTAAGGGGTAATTATGTCACTGATCGGGTTATCAGGAGAACCTGGAATTGGCATCGAACTGGAAGTACATTTTAGCTTTACTTTGTTATTTCATTAAGTTTGGGGGGGTGGGCCCTTTAACGACACTCATTTTATTGATCTTAGAAGGATGACCTTGCTAAGTATCAAACCTGTGAGATATTAGAGCAGACTTACTAGACCTGTGAATTCTTACATTGGCTAAATACCAACACACACAACAGAGACTCGGCTCTTCACACAGCTGTTTGTCTGGCACAAATTCTCAAGAAATATTTTGATCAAAGTAGTTAGGATTAATATATTTTTATTGAACGAAAGCTTTTTCTCAAGGGATGGAGCCAATGAAACTCCGATGTAAAGAATATAATGGGGTGCTGCACACTTTATGTACATTACAGTTTGTTTTTGTATAGGAGTCAC